CAGCTCTGCCTCTTTACAAAGGAAACTGCCCGGGGGACCAGCATGCAAGCGGAGGTACAGTTTTCAGACAGCACAGGGTCTACCATGTAATTTAGTTGATTTTGAAAGACTCTGACCAAAGCTCCTCTCAGTTTAAATGAACGCTCTACTGAGAAGTTTCTCAGCACTGAGCCATCAGATGCAACCTATTTGTACTCCTCTGCATCCAGTGCAATGATAATCTGTTTGGGTCAGCAGGCTTCAAAGAGACAGAAATACCACCAAACCTACTTAAAATTGTGCTGTTTTTACCCCATGACCTCGTGAGTAGGTTTTACTCAAACGTTTGTCATATTCACTTGTCTAAAAACATAGAGGACTGATGAAGCAGCTCATTGTGGAAGCATTGAAAGTTTTCATGCAGTTAAAACTCTCTTCCCTCTGAGATGTGACCAATAATTGACAAGTTTTACGTACCAGGACAATTTGTATTCCAGATTTTATGGTACATCTGGTAAAGTATGATTGTTTTTTATACAGGATTTGCGCTGCAGACCTTCAAGAGCACTGCATTATGTTAGCATGTGTTTTCCAACCTTTCTCCTCTACTGAGCCACGGAAGCAGTTTGTTTGCTTTAAATGAAGATATTTTTGTCCTCTATTCCCCATCTTCTGTTTACTTAAAGAATTATTCATACACTAAGTATTTCTTTTCTTCAGCAGCTTGAATCACAAAAAGTCAAAAAGCCAAAGTTATTGCTGCAGTGCGTGCATCTTTGCAGTGTTCTTACTTCAACAAATGAGCTTTTTTTTTTGTTTTGTAGTTTCCAGCTTTATCTCCAGCTGCCTTTAAAGACATCATACAAGTGCATTCATCAGACTTCACAAAGCTCCTGCTAAAGAGAGTAGAGGTTCGATTGTGTTGAAAACATATGCAGACAGCTGGAAACATCGATGGCGTTTCTCTTTTTAAAACACACTCATAAACACCAGACTGTCTTACTGAGATATTGAAGCACAGTTTTTATTTTACAGCACAAACTGCTGCTTTTAAACACTTTGAAAATGAATCAAGACGTTATCAGACTATAAGACAGCTGCTGTTGTTGCTCATGATGTTGTTTCTCCCTGTGGTCTGTGACTTCAGCCATTCACGTGCAGTCATGTGACTCATTCCTCCATCTCACCAGCTACAGCTCCTGACTGTGGCTGCCTGAAACTCATTGATTTCCCCGCACTGCCTCAGAGGCTGCTGGTTCCAGTCCGTCATGGCCATGACCACAGGGCCACTCTGCAGCCTGGAGAGGCCGCCTGTCACAGTCAGCACTCAGAGGCGGCTGACGAGGTCTCATGTCACTTTAATTATGCAGCAATTCACTCAGAAACTCACTCAGTCATTCACAGACTCACTCAGTCACTCAGAGACGAATCAAAACACTCCACCAGCGTGGTTATTTATGGAAGTAAAATGTTTCTCATGTTCATAATATCGCTCAGCTTTGCCTCCTTTTCTTTTATATTTATTTACATGAATCACAAGTTTGATTAAATGAAAATGATTCTTTAATCCAGTAAATCTGGCCTTGAATCAGCTGTTGCTCTGCTGGTCATTTGTTGTCCTGCATGTTCAGGGGCACAACACCAAATGTAGTTGGTGCAAATATGACAGTTCAGCTGTGACCTTTTATATAATGTCACTGATGCCTGGGCCTTTGCTGCTGCTCTGTCTGTCTTGGCTTTTTATGTGTGGACGTGGAACAGAGTGGAGGAGGTGTGCTCTCCCTGCCTCAAGCTACTGCATTCCATGTTGTGTCGTTCATGAACGATTCGTTGAAAAGAACAAAACTGCTGAGTGAACGACATGAACGGAATCACTCCAAGACCTGATTCATTCCTTTCTCAGTTTTGTTGAGCTCAGCCGTGAGCCTGGACGGTAGAGAGTGGATCTGCCACCTTTGACTCTTCAGTGTACAACACACAGCCAGCCAGCCAGCCAGAAAGCAGGTGGGCAGAGTCACGTGATTTGCTCACAGCAAATGAACGACATGTATCAGTCAGACTGTAAATGAAAAGAACAACTTCTGAATGACTTGAGGCAGGCAGAGGAGGCAGGGGCGTAGCACTGTGGTTCACTGTGAGGATGAACATAGGCTGAGACAAATCAGTGCATTGTCTGCCTTTACATTAATACACATCTTTAAACTATCCTGCAAGAAGGATTTAATTTCAGCCGATTTAAAGCAATACGCTATTTGATATCTTTAAAAGTAGCAGAATCCCCACTACAGCTGCGTTGTTTATTTATTTTTAATCTCTCCACTTTTCCGTGATATAAAAGAATGACAACTCGCACTATTTTAGTGGGCATGCTGCTTGCTGCTGTGTTGTTTTATTCACGTTGTGATGCAGATGTCGGCGGCACACAGAGAGGTGAGTTTTTCAGGGCAGGGGAGTGAATTTTTTGCATCACGACTTGTCCAAATAATGACATGTGTGAACAATGCTGTGACTTCAGCAGCAGGGGAGGGGAGGGGCTCATTCAATGAACAAACTCCTGATCAGCGCCACTGTATCACTCACTTGTGTACTGCACCCAGCAGAACGGGGCTCCGAAGTGCTCACCAATTCGGTGAACAAATCTTTTGAACGAATCATTTTAATGAACAAATCTAAAGATTCAGTACAGTTAAAAGAACCGTTCTTCCATCTCTAAAGGGCAGGGAGCTCTCAGAGTCATACCACCAAGTACGACTTATTGATCGGAAATGAATAGTTTTCATTAATTAAAGCATTTCTGACTGAACCATCTGTTTTCTATTGATCTCCAAAATAAGTCTCTGTTAAAAAAAAAGACCAGAAGTAGTTTTAAAAATCTGTTCCTAAGTTGAACAGGTGCCTGAAAATTATCAAGCTTAATGAACAGCTGTATTCATGTCTTCTTTCTGATGCCAGCAGATGTTTCTGCAGCTTTTTTTTTCTCTGCAGCAGCTAAAACAAAACCAAACAGCTCATTCCTCTCAGCAGATCAATCATTTAATCGCATGCTGCACACACACAGTGGAGCAGACTGAGGTGTGGAAATATTTATGAAGAACTATTGACTCTGTTTGCAGAAGCACAAACAGAGAAAGAAAGAGTCCATGACAGTAACATCAAAGTGTTTTCACAGGATGGATTAGTGTGACCGTCTGCAGGATGGGATTACAGCACAGAGAGATTTTGACGGAGGACCAACCAGCTGCCATCAACACACACTGACTCACGGCAAGGTAGCACACACTGCTGTCTGTGTGCAGATCACAGCTGTGATCCAAACATTTCAGCACAGCCTGGCACACCTTGTCCTGTCAGCTCATCACAGTGAGTGCTCCAGTTAAAATATTAACAGGTAAATTACTGGTTCAACGACTAGAAACAAATCTTCCGATAAAAAACAAGTCATGAGAAAAACACTCGCAACTTGAACATCAGGTTTATAACTTTGACATAAAAACTGAAGTATTGATCTTGTGAGCAGTTGTGGTTAAAGTTGCATTGGTAAAACTTAACACCAGAGCATTTTGAGTCTGAAAATTCAGTTTGTTGGTGCAGTTTTTAACTGGGCAGAGTCAGGGACACTGTTCCCTTCACATCATTATGCTAAGCTAAACCTTTCAAGTGTAGACACCACTTTGTACTGGTCTGACCGTGTGTCCCACTTTGTGAAAGACAGCACAACATTTTCAACACCAGTCCAAAATCTTACTGTAAAAATGGATACTAAAACATAAAGCAAAGGCTGTTCATCTGAGCTGTGGTTTCTTTTGAGGCTGTATGCTGCACTCAGTCTTCAAAAAGATATGTATAAAAAAAATTAAAACTATCTGAGACTGAGACTCACTGATGTAAACATGCAATGACTGTTCACACCATTTATCTAGTCTTATTTTGCTTTAGGTCTGTGGCATTGGGGAACACTCATGTCTTTAAGAAGCATGGTATTGTTAATGTTAGCCCCAAGTATGTGTTTGTGAGTGAGTGAATGCAAATTTAATTCTTTACCGAGAGATCTCGTTGGTCTGGTTGATGTTGGACTCATGCAGTAAGTACAGAACTTGAATCTCCTAGGAAAAATGCTTTAGATTAAATTTTTATAACCATGCCATCAGGCTCCATCCTTTTCCTCTGTTTAATTTGAGTTATCTCAATTAGGTTAATCACTTGCAGTTATCTTTCTGAGAACTTAAACTGTGTTCAAATTAAACTTGAATGAGTGATTTCTTTTTTTCTTCAGTCCAAAATCACTGGAAGAATTCATTTCAGATTCAAACTGTGACTTCTTTTCCTTCTCGTACCAAGCGTAAAGATCTGTGTGGACGATGAGATGCTTTAACTTCTCTATTGACTCTTCTTTTTAAACTCCTTGTCAGTTCAGCAGGCTTCACTTCAACAGGCTGATTAAAATGTTTGACCTTTGCATTGAAAGTGACTGAGTTCTGCCTCTAAGGAGCACTGTTGAAGTGAGTTTTATTTTCTGCTTAAGGTTAAAGACCTCAACTAAAGCCCGAGAACATCACAATGTGAATCCAGCACTCAGAGATAATGTTCCTCTGGACCTCTACTAGACCTTTGATGCATATTGAACACTTACTGTGCATCCCTCTAAGACAAACAGGGCATAAATCAAAATACTTTATGACTAATGTTCATCTTAGAGAAACAGAAGTTTCATCAGATTCAGTTCAAGCTAATTTGAGATGATATTCCACATATTTTATTATCATGTAATCCACCTGGCAATATGAAACAAAGAGCTGTGATATGCATGTGCATCTGACTGCTAATGCCCCTGCATGTGTGTGTGTGTGTGTGCGTGTGTGTGTGTGTGTGTGGGCAGGAGCCATGCACTGCAAGCTGCTGGTGGTGCTGAAGCTGAATGTTGGCTGCGCTCCAGGTGGAGGCTGAGCGACGCCTCGGCGCGCTGAAATATTGATTGAGAAAGATGAAGCAGCCGCGGGCCATCGGCTGCATTTGGACAATAGATGCAGAGAAAGTTCGAGCCCTGCATCTGTTCTGGTGAGCGTTTTACACGCTGCAGCTAGCGACTGAGGAGGGGTTTAGTTGAGATCCACCTTCAGACTGCTTTAACACAGGCCCCCTGCCTTTACATTTCCCTCTCTGTCAGCTCTGATTAGCATGAGATCCCTCGCAGACGTCTTCATAAACACGTCAGCCACGCTGAGACATTTTTTCCAGCCCACTTACAGGTTACATTTACACAAATCAGCCATAACAACATGACCTTTGACAGATGGAGTGAATACCATTATCTCTTTACAATATATTGTGTTGGTGGGTGGGAAATGTGAGGCAGCAGGTGAACATTTTGTCCTTGAGGTTGATTGTCTAATATGACGATGTAAGTGAATTTTTACAAGAACAAAACTGTGATGGCTAGATGACTTGATCTCCAAAGCTGTAGCCCTGATCCAATGAAGGAATGGAGCTGCAGACCAGTTGGGTAAACAAAGGCCAGAACGAAACATTACAGCAGCACGTAATGCAACAATACCCAACAGAGCTAGCTTCAATGCTTCCCTGTGTCCCATATCAAATAAAGCCCCAAGAAAATCTCGAAAAAGAAGAAAGTCCAGGTCCAGAAACAACCTCGCTGCTTCAAACCTACTGGGTCCAGGTTTCAGTGGAAAGGTTTGCTTAACAGCGTTTCAATTTGGCGTGGAGATAATTATGTGGAAACAATTCAGATTATGATTGAAATCAGAGGGAGCAGTGTTTGTCAGATACTCTGAATGGAGGGTTAATTAGACAGTGTGTGTTCAAGTGCCTCTGTGTGTTTCTGTGTATTCCTCGGAGTCTTCTTGTTTGGGTCCCGAACATGCATAAAGAGTAAAATGTGTGTGTGCATGAGTATATATATGTGTGTGTGGGAGCCCAGTGAGTGGCACCCTCTCTCTGCATCTTCAGTGGGAGAGCCTTTGATTCATTTTTTAATAGGCCCCTGCAGCTCGGGCCTCACGCTGCCTCTTTCCCTGTTCTTTTTTTTTTTTTTTTCTGTTTTCTACCTCTTATCATTAAAGGTTTTTAAAAGGCAGCTCATTTGCCACTCCCTCTCTCCTCCTCATCATTTTGCTGTTCCTGCACCTTGATGGCCATGTGCTCTGTGCTGGTTGGAGTGGCGCTTTGCTCCGGCGTGTCATGGTTCATTTCAAACTGAATACAAATTCCCTCTTGTCTCGCTCCTGTGTGTTTCCAGCTCGCTGTCTGTATGTTAATGACGAGAGCTCAGAAACTTATTGGCAGGAGTCAGTGTGCTGCCACGACGTCTTCATTCACAGGCCTGCACTCGTCTTCTTCATCTCCTCTGAGACTGCAGAGACGGAGGAAGAGGAGGAGGAGGAGGCAGCCAGCCCATCATGTCCCACTTGTCCTACTTCTCCCATCGTCGCCCTTCCCCCTCATCCTCCATTTTTTTCTACTGGAGTCTTACGCCCACGCCGGAAGTGTGCAGTCTCTCCAAGCGTGCTGTTTTCTCTGCATGTAAACAAACGCACACATCCACCGTACACTAAAGGATTTATGCAGTGTGTCCATGCTGTGTTGTGTGTCCATGCTGTGGTGTGTGTCCATGCTGTGGTGTGTGTCCACGCTGTGTTGTGTGTCCATGCAGAGCGGTGCTGACGGGCTTGTCATGCCAGCTCAGCCTCATCAGAGTGACACTGACGTCCCAGCGACTCCGTCAGCAACCATCACTGCCACATCGCCTTCAGAGGGGGCCAACCCTGCCCCTCCTCCTTCCCCACCTTACTGGATGTTGTCTAGTCATATTGCCTTGGCAGGCCCCCCCTCAGCGTCTCCTACCCTAGGGAGACTGCACTCTAACATTTGTCGAGGAGACTGAGCCTGTTTCTCTTCTCTGAGAGCTTTTGTACCCTCATATGTGGACGTTTGACCCGGATCACTGCCATTCCACCTCCATATGTAAATCCTCCAAATTTCATATCTGACTTCAGTCCATTCCAATGATTGACCCAGATAATCTGAGGGGTTTAAATATCCAGTAGTGTGTCTGCCTTAAGACTCATCAGACCCTCTCTGATATTCTTCAAAGTTATTACCTCCGCCAAGGAGGTTATGTTTTTGGTAGCGTTGGTTTGTTTGTTTGTTTATCTGTGAACAACTTTACAGAGAAAGTTACAGACGGATTGACCTGAAATTTTCACCAGAGGTGCTTCTCAGACCCAGGACGATCCCATTACATTTTGGTGGTGATCCGGATTGCCTTCTGGATCCAGGATTTTTTTAAAGGATTCTTTATCATTGTGAGATAGGGCAAATTTTGGAATTTTTGCATCAGACTCAGTTCTGAATTCAACCCGCAGGCTGTCATCATTTTTCCTCCTCTCTCCTGCCTCATCCCCGAAGCATAAAATGTCTCTACAAAGTTCTTGTTTAGCTTGCAAACCAGCTACCTGCCACATTTAGTCCAGCTAATGAGCACATGTTAAGCCTTGCTAACTCGTCACCTTTCCTCTCATTTGTTCAGCAAGCAAAACATTGTTTAGTGAGCTAACCTGTTGAATGAGAAGGCGCCAGACAAGAAGAGAAAACAGGTCAAGCAAAGCTACAAAGCTGCAGGTGCACTATCGTTCGTGGCCTAGTGCTTGCAGGGTTCCCCATGCTGTGACAGATACCTGCAGCTCCAGCTGGGTGTTTCCTGGTTTAGTCAGGGTGACCATATTCTGAATCCCCTAAAAGAGGACAGGACTATATGGGGCAGAGTCACAGAGTCATGCATGGTTCATTTTGAGATTTTTTTCGGGTGGGTCAAGTGTGTTTCACACGCTTCCAACTCAGTAAGTCCACAGGGCACAAACTCGAAACTTCCATACAAAACGTTTACATTTAAAGGATTTTATAAACTCCAAAGGCCGGACAGCCAGGACAGCCTCAAAAGAAGAGGACATGATCAGGTAAAAGAGGATGTATAGTTACCCTAGCTTTAGTGGATGCTCAAGCAGCACTTGCTGACCTGGAGACCAGTGTGAACTATTTCTGGTAAAGTCTCCTCTGGACAGATCTCTTACAGCTGCATTTAGCAAGTGACAGTGGTCATTAAAAACAGGCAGAAACCCTGAGCAGATCCAGACTGATTACATCCATCTGCTGACTGTCTCCTGTCTTCTTCTTTCCCCTCTCTCTCTCTTTCTCTCACAGGCTGTTCTGTTTCAGCTCTGAAAGTTCAGACGTAATCATCCAGATTTTAAATCCGAAAGGTCAAACATGATTAATATCATTCAGATGGCTCTGCTAAGATTGCACCGCTCAGGAGGTTTGGGACTGGATGTGTAAAGCCCTCACAGTCCCAAATAATCTGAGCTAAACATCAGCGCCAAAATACAGCTCACACCAGTTATTGCTCAGAGGGGTAAATCGGGTTGAAATGTCCTGTTACTCACAAGTTTAGCTTACACAATTATGAGTCCTATAGTTATATCTTTTTTTCTGGGCTCCAGACGAGCAGTTAGTCCTTCATGAGTCAGCCACAGGTGCCCACAGTCTTTATGAAATGATGCCCACACAGGCCGGGATGAAAGCTGCCCACAGCCACAGGCCTGCTGTTCACTCCGTCATGTTCAGCAAGGGCTCGGCCTGTCCACCATCCACAGAGCTTCAAACACTTCATGTTCACATCTCTGACTGCACAGAGACGCTGAGGTAATGATTCATAAAGAGAGGCAGGACGCCTTCACAGCGGGATGGTCCTGAGTGTCTCATCCTGGCTCTAAAGTCTTTCCTCTTTAAGTTTGCTTCCGTTTGACCCATTCAGAGCATAAAAACTGTGCAGAGCACCAAGACATCCCTTTGCTTATGTTAGTCACTTGACTTCACTACATTTATACCTCAAATACGTAAGTGCTTTAACATACATAAAGCACAGTGTAACCTTGAATGTCAAATTTATCTGCCGTCAAATAGCACACTGTGGCTCATCAGCGTAATTACAGTCTGCTGTTTTCAGTCATCTCATGCCTGAGACAACAAAACAAGCTGTTCAGAGACGCCTAAAAAGGCATCCTAAAATTACACTAACATGGGTGTTTCTCGTGTTATAAACTTTTAAGGACATCCAACGATGTAACAGTATATGATAGTGTACTCAAAGCTTGGGTAGAAGGGCCCCAGCCACATCCCTGGTAACCCCCATGTCCCATAAAAAGCCAATTATGTGCACTTGCTGGTGGTTTTGTGGGAGTTAAAATATTACTGATTTTTTTGACCTTTTAATCTTTTTTTGAAAAACTTAATTTGTTAATTTTTTCTACTTTTACAAAACTGCCAGTTCACAGGAAAAAAATAGGGTCCTTGTCAGACCAAACAGTGCAGTGCCCAGAGGTTAGGAATCTGTGATATGAGTTCTAAAGGCCGGCACCAAAAGAAATCAAAGACGTTATGATTGATTCCACATTCAACAACACAATACACAAACCAATGGTTTGCTGCTTCAAAGCAAACTTCTGTATTTATGCTCCTATATGTCAGAGCCCCGCTTTAAACACCACTGATAATGTTTTTTTGCAGGGGCTTGTCCACTATAGGGGATCTTAATATTGATGGCAGTTTCGCCACTTTGCACAGGTGAAAGGTGAAAGTGAAATTTAGTCTTTCTTCCAGCCATTTTTTCTGGTACCTGCAAGTTAAAAGCTTTGAAAATATACCAACCCAGCACTACTTTTCAATCTTATGAGTGGTTCCCTGATCTCCACACACTTGATTTCACAATTTGTTGAACTTTGTCCATGGCAACCTCCGATACGGGGATCACTGATACTGGGAATTACATTTCAAAAGAACTTAGGGCAAAAGCCCACAGAATTGAATCTTGTTCCATTAATGAAAACTTTAACTAATCCAGTTGAAGGTCATCCACCGATTACACTTTTCTAAAACTAAATTGAACAGGATTTTCCCTTCAGTCTCTCCTACCTGTGATAAGTGCGAGTCAAATGATGAGACCCTTGGTCATCCACTCTGGTGCTCTCCCTAGCTTAGAGTTTTTGGTGTGAAATATTCAGCGCATACAGCAATTTATATAATAGCCAATTAGATCCTGCCCATTTTCTGGTGATATTGGGCTGTTCTGATTTCTAATTGATACTTCCAGCAGAATTACAGCGAGCCCTCTCAGCATGGTTGTAGTAAAGAGGGAAATTTTGAGACTGGAGGTTTGTTCCTCTTCCTTGTTTAGAAGAAATAGTTGAATGACATGGTTTCCTGCTTGTAAAATCTATATATAGTAGTGAAATTCCCAAATGGATGAGTAAAAAGGCTCAAATGTGTAATGCATACTGCTTTTTGTCTGCCTTACAGTTTGCTGTCAAGGGAAGAATTCACAGTATTCATTATAAGACTGCTGCACACCTGCCTCCACAGATCCAATAAATGTACACACATTTCTTTCCTGCTCCTCTATTTGAACTTGTGCATGATTCCCATTTTTCTTTCTGGCTCATAATTCATCATCATTCCATTGACTGCTCCTCTGTTATCATTGTGCACATTATAAATGAAGGAGCTGACGGTAATCTGGCAGGTGAGCTCTTGTAGAAAATCATTCACTGTGCTCCCACTGGCGCAATGGAGCAGTGTTATGCGCTGACGTGGAGATGTCTGCTGTGACCTTAAAATACACAACTGAATGGGTTTTGGTAGCAAAGGCACTGAAATACCACAATTTAAAAGACTAAAGCTTTTATCCCTCCAAACATCCACACAAAAATCCACATCCAGGGTTTTAAAAGTTGTTTTTATTGACATACATGAGCCATGTTTGCAGCATGTTCTTTTCCTCAAGGTTGCATTTTTCAGGGTGCACTTTTGTTGGAGTGTTGTCATGAAGTTGGCAAAGGTTTTTCTCTCCTTCTTACCTTTTATTTTGGAAGGAGAGAGCACTGAGTCACCAAATAGACCCATTTTCATCTGATCCGGTCAGCATACTGCACCAACGCTGCCCATGAGTGAAAGTGTGAGTCATTTTGGAGAAATTTTCCCTCCATGTTCAGCTGGCGGCATGGTTTTATGCAGCTCACCTTGAGGCGTTTAGCTGCTGTTCAGTGAGGACCACTTCGATCATAAAGAAATAATATTTGCATGCATGCATGCTCTTAGTTGTATTTGGGAGTATGGCTCTGCTCTGAGAGTTCCCTGCCTTTCCATCTGAGTAATAAAGTGCCAAATCCTAAGCCAGGAGAGCACACCGCTCTTATGCTTAATGTGCACCATTGGTAACACTAATGCTAGCTTTAAATCAGCTCCAAAATGTCAACCAAGGTTTGCCGCACAGCTCTGTGCTTGTAATGCTTCTCTTTACCATTTACATGCTCCCACTGGTCAAATCAGCTCTGACCATGGACACAACATTCACCGCCATGCTGATGATATGCAGCTGTGTCTCAGAACAAAACCTGCGGCCTGAACTACCTCTACAGTCATGGGTCTGCTGCCCCTATGAAATAAAACTGTAGATTTAAAACATTTACAGCCCATGGTTGTGGTCCTCAAGGTTCTGCTTCAGGTTCAGAAGGTTTGGTGATATGTCTCTGGGCATCACTGGTGCCACTCCTTTCTTTTAGTCAAAGCGTTTATCGAAATTGTTTCTTACCCCCTCAGGAACACATCAAGACAGTAGCAGAAACCCAGATCCAGTTGTAAACTATACAAAGCCCTGCCAGCACATCACCCTAGTTCCTTTCCACCTTTGCTGACTGACATTTCACATTAGCAACAAAAGGAGTCTCCTCTCCTATAAAACTCTCCATGG